TTTGTCTTTACTTACTTTTAGAATATTTTTTTAGTTTGAATACTAAATTTACAAAAAAGTTTGTTAAACAAAAGGCTTAATTCAAAGCAAAATCTATTTAAATTTTATTTATTTCTTAGTATTTTATATATTTAAGCTTTGTTAATAGCAAGTTTACTTAGTATAAAATTAAGAATATTATCTATTTTGAAGTCAGGATCTTTAATTTATTTTCAGTATTAATTTGGTTCAAGTAATTGTTAAAAAGAATGTAATTTTTAAATAATAATAATAATAATAATAATAATAAAATAGTTTAACTAAATAATAAACAAAGTATATTATTTTATTAAAAAATATAATAATAAAAAATTTAACAAAAAAAATTATTAAGGATAAAGTAACTTAGTGAAGTGGTTAGGTTGTCAACCCTCCAAGTGATAGGTTGGGTGTTCAAATCTCATCAATGGTAAAAATTTGAATAATTACTTATGTAATATTTATATTATGATAACTGTTACTAACGATTGGGTTAGGATACTTATAATGGTGTTCACATCAGCATGACTGGTAAATCATGGGGCATTCATGTAACAGGTCACATGACATTGTCCTTTGGGACAAGGTTGTGGTTACACAAAGGAATGCAAACCGGCAATAGGCGATGCAAACACTAGATAAGTCCTTGTGACCATATAAATTTGTTGAAATTGAGTAATAAGAAGTTCATTTAGAAAGACCTAAGTAAAGAGGTAGCTGGATCTTTAATGGCCCTACTGTAAAGGCTATCTCAAGAAAACAGATACCAAGATTGTAGTACCCAGTCATAGTAGCTAGACAGGCAAGAATCTTCAAGTTGGGAGTCTCAGAGGTATTACCAACTAGACTGTCAGAACAAATCAGAGGAAAAGAATATTAGCCTGATCTAATATATTGATGAACTGGTTGTAATTCTATATAGGCTATCTGGATTGAGAGTTTGGTAAAAAGGCAGATGAAAAGGCAGAGGTATATTAAAGTACTAGGGTTATGCTATAAAGTAGATGCTAGAATCTAAATAAACTCTACAAGAGCATAGTGGTTTAATAGTTAAGCCCTGATTGCAAGTGTTGGTTCTGCTATAGTAATATCTAAGTCAGTTGTAAAAATGAATACAGAAGACTCTAGAAGGTTTACCTCAAGGATAAAATAGTCCTAAGATTAAGATAATGATCTGGATATCAGATATGACCCAGTGAAGTTAACAGGTTTGCAGGTTCAGAAGGTTTAAAGTAGAATACTCAAGCAGAGGTATTAGGTATAATAATTGGTAGAGAACCTTTAGGCAGACTCCTTAAATAAGTAATATAGAAAAGTTACATGTGTAGCCAATTGCATGTTTTTCCTATAGTGGGTTACTGAAACATATTTACCATTGTTAAATAAAGTCAAAAGACTCAAGAGGTCATCTTAACAAAAAAAAAAACCTCTAAAAAATTTATTAAAAAGTTTTTAATATTAAAAATAATACAAATTAAAACTATTTATAATAATTAAAATTTTAAAATCAGAAATAAACATTGTATTATTAAGTTTATTAAGAAAAAAATTAAGAATTTAAATAAAATAAAATATATTTTAACTTAAAAAAATAAAATATATAATATAATTCTTAAATATATATAAAAAATACTTATATTTACTTTTATCTTTTATTTTAATACTACAAATTAATATTAAAATTAATCTTTGAACTATTTAATGGATTAAATATTATATTTTATTCTTTTATATTATTACTCAAACCCAAATTTAGATGAGCCTTGATTACTTTTGTAGGTTTAGGTTGCAGATTATATATCTGAGTCTTTATTTTTCATATGTAATTTAAAAGCAAGCTTTTTTTTATAAAACTTTAATTGAATTTTAATAAAGTTAAAGACATAGTTTTACTATTGATATTTAAAAAATACATATATATACTTATATTTAAAAAACTAATAATAAAATAATTAAAATTTTATATTAACCAAAATTGTATAATTGTAAAGAAAAAAAAGATTAAAACTATTTAACTATTTGTTTAACTTATAAGTATTATTAAATAAAAACAAAAACATTAATAATAACAGTAATATAAAATATATTTTTGAAAAATATAAAAAAAATACTATAAAGACAATTAAAAAAACTATTTAAGATTAAATAAAAAAAAAATAAAAAATAAAAAAAACTTATCAAAAAACTTTTTTAAAATAAGACAATTAAAAAGATATAAGACCTTCTAATTTTAATAAAAGAAACAAAAAAGTTTTTAATAAATATTAAAAATACTATATAAAATAAGATTTATAAAATAATTTAAAGAAAAGGATGATAAAAAATAATTTAAAGAAAAGGATGATAAAAAATATACAAATAAAAGAAAAGTTAATATATTAATCTAAGAAAATAAAAAATAAAAAAAATAAAAAAAAGCAAAAAACAGTAAGACAAAATAATATTAAAATCAAGAGATAAAAGATTCAAAAAATAAATAGTATAAAAAAAAATAACAATAAAAAACTTATAAAAAAACACAATAAAAAAGCTGATTAATAATAATAAGAAATCTTATTAAAACAATTTTAAAGACTAATCTAAATAGCTCTTTAATAACAAGTACCCTTAATACCAAAAAAAAAACAAGTACAAACTTGTATTAGTGTGTAAACACTTCTAAATGCTTTTACAGTAATTGAAAAATATTAATCCTATAAATTAAACTAATATTTGTATAGTTAATTATATAATTCTTTTAATAAAAGATATTGACAGGTTGTAGTTTGAAAAAAATTTTGATTTTTGATTTTTATTAATAGTGTTGTTTATATATTTTTGATTCAAAATTTTTTATAACTAAAAAATTTGTTTATACACTAATAAAATTTTTTTTGCAAAATTATAATAAATTAATTTTTACTTTTATTTTTATTTAATACAAAACTAATAATCAACAACAAGGCTTTTGAAAATGCAAAATTTTTTTTATTGATCATACGGAAGAATAACTATCGTTTTTCACCGATAGGTCATTTAGTTGACACACACGACGTGACAATTTAAATAATATTGACTGTAGGTATGTATGTACCGATATATTGTTAGTAAATTGTCGCATGACGTGATGTCGGCTAAACGATCTTTCGGTGAAATGGTGTAGGCTACATCATAATTTTTACGTTGACTTACCAACACATACGTACGTATTTGTTTTCATGATGCAGAGCACGGTTATTACTCTGATTTAACTTAAAATGCTAACTCAATTGCTCGTATAACTTAATGCTAGCTTTATTAGTGTTACTATGTTGATTTCTGATTTGTTTACAAGAATTAATAATATAAATTTACACTAAATGGATGTATAATGGTTTATCACATGTAATAAAAAAAGACTAACACCAAACCTAAATTTTTTTAACGCAGAAGATAGTATATAAATATGTATATACATATAACGTCGGTATATATTTGTTTTAACCATAATTTAAGAATGTCACACTTCAAAGCCAAACAATTGATAACGAATGTAATTGTCGAGTAACAAATGGTATTAATAAATTGAGTTTTTTTATCGATATTATTGATATTACTGTATTAAGAGTAGCATCAGAAAAATGCACAGAAAATAAATAAATATATAAATAAAGTACTAATCCTAATCGAAGTCACTCTTTTGCTTGGTGAAACATTCCAAGCGTATAAGAGAATTGGCTAAAAGTGTACCCGTTTAGTAATCTTATAATATCATATAATATAATATATTTGAAACATTCGACATCAGCTTGCAGACTCCTCGGCGTAATTCATACCGAACAGGGAAGCGTTCAGGTGTTTGCGTTTGACTGACCTTTCATTCAACTGACCAGTCAGAAAGCTTAATAGTACATTCACGAGATAAATTTGGCCTATTCAAAGTGATATTTACTACTAATTTAGAATGATCACAATAGCATCATTAATAAAACCACATTAAGAAAAAATTCAGATAAAAAGGTAATAATGTACAGTGATAAAAATCAGATTGCCTATATTGAACTGATTTTTCACAATATCGTTATTTTTAATTTACCCCCTCCTACGTATGTGCGTTATTCATTTTACTAAATGCAATACTTATATTATCCGCACCTTTTGGATCTCACACCGCGTGACCAATAATCGTCATGTTGAGAAATATCAGAATTAGGTGTTCATCATGTAATGTCGTGTCTTATAACAGGATATCATTTTCTACACATGGGCCTAATTAATTTGGTATTTATTGTTATGTTTGTACATACTTAAAAGTTTTTTCTTTATGCAAGGATTTCTACATTGCGTAACTTAGAGGCTAGTGATGTTGTACATGTAAGACAATACAAATCTAAGGTGGAATTTCTCCAGAAATTTTGGAATATGTCTTAACACAAAAGGTGCAACAGTCCAATTCTCATTAAACCTTATTGCCACTTGAGGTAAAGATGTTCCTGTCAATTTAGAATGTACTACCTTTAACGGGTTAGAATTAATACTTATTATGTTTGCATATTAGTGTCAGTATTGGTATGTATGTGGTAATGGAAACCATATTTTTTCCATAAACTTTGAAAGCAAGTCATATAAGCATATATTAATATACTATACTAAAATGGTAATTAAATTTTTTTCGATGTATAAATATATTAAAAAAATTCAATTCATTTCGATTGACAATGGAACGTTAATCTCTCTGTAAAGGACCACTTTTTGGAGATTTTACCTTTTATTTAACCTCAAATACTTCTAACAATTTATAAGCATTTTTTTTTTTTTTTTTTTTTTTTTGCTCTAATATTTTCAACATGGAAAAAAGAATACTGGAATTTAAAATAAAAACATTAAAATTGTGGTTTATGAGGCGGGTATGTATAATTTTCTTTCAGTGGCTCATGTCACTTATTGAGCGAGACTTTTACGTCGTCTTATACGTCACAGTTAAATGTTAATAAGAAACCTTGGTTTTTTTAAAGTATGAAAAGATGGTCGAGTCGAAATGGACTCGTCTCTTTATCATTACTTCCATTGTCCAGACTTTCATTACTATAATAATTCAATCACTTGTTGTTGGCCGAAACCAAAACGCTTCTTTAGATTTTCTAGACAAGTGGCGAGATACATATTCAAACAATAATAATATTACTGCCAACGAATGCAAAACCAATATTGTGGGGCGTATGACCAATATTGTTGGAGAAAATATCATAATTCTACTTTCCAATATATTTTTATTATTCTTTAGTTATGATGCAGTATGTTTTTTATCTTTATTTTTAATCATTCATTTATTTTAATGTTTATTGTAATGTTATTGAATTTTTGTTTCTACTTTAGATTTTTAACCAGAACACAATACAAATAATAACTGTAGTAGTAGTAAACTATGCGATAGGAATAGTTGCTGCTGTATGTGTTTATACATTTATACTTTTTTATTCATTTGTTCTTCACAAATTGCTTATATATCAAGTTCTTTAGATACAAATAGTAGAAATTCAAAGATGGAAAAACCAAGCAGTTGAATGTGTACCAGGATTCAGTATCTTTGACTTTAAGGTGGAATTGTACGAAGTACCATCAGTAGTAATATTTTTGATATGTGCGACAACGATGGGATTCTTTACTTGGAAATTGTATCAGCAATTTGGGTGGAATATTTACAAAAGAATTGGCGCTGATCGTAATATGCAAAGTAATAATATCTTTAAAATTTTTCTCGATTTGTTATTTGACTATATTTTATTTATCATTTATTTTATCATTTATTTTATCATTTATTTTATCATTTTATTTATTTATTTACTTTTTTTTTTTTTTTTTTTTAGAAATTTTCAGATCAATGTTAATTTTCGTCATGCATTTAAAACTGGATCTTTTCTTTATGGTGATTTTGTCCATAGTGGCTTGTGTAGTACTCTCATCGACTGAAAAACTTAAATCATCATTTTTGTATTGGTTTCATGTGGTAGTAACAGTTATAATATTTATCCTGCAAGCTCTCGCTTATCGTATGGTAAGATTTGATATTTGAGTATAAATTTGGTTATATTATTGAGTAAATTATAATTATATTTGAACATAAAAAAAAAGTTAAGGGAGGAATCTGTTTTAGGAATGAAAATATTTATTGGTTTATGGTTAATACCGATTGCCGACTTCATAGCTCTTCTTATAAAATCAATTGGCACAAGCGCACAGGATAGTTGGTATTTTTTCATAGTTTTTAGTAAGTTCTTATTTCAACCGTTCCATTGTCATTTTCGAATTTTTCGAGGACCAGATATTAACCATTCTGCTTCTTTCATATCTAGTTGTTTTTGGTATCATAATGGCACTGGTGAGCATAATATTATTATGTTAAAAACTTGTGTGTGTAATTCTTAAGTTTTAATTACTAAAATATGAATTTTAAAATAGTTGACGTTAATATGGTCAATACTTGTATTAAACAATTTTGGCAAAGGACTGAAAAGACACTGTAATTATTCACCCCTTTTTTATTTTACTTTTTTTTTTTGATGGTTTACACAACACTGATACTGATCGACAGACACTTTTACAGTAACGACAGGAATAGGTAATATACAATGTTCGCAGGCTACGGAACAAACTTCAGAAGCGCAACCTCCCACAGGTCGGTGGGCAATTGATGAAGATTGATCAAATATACATACCTTTCAAACCTCAATTTCACAACATTTAAAATTTTCATTCAAAATTATCCATTAAACATACTACCGTAAATACATTCCTCTAACTTGAAAATTTTACAATATTAATCTTAAGTACTTGTAACTTTAAAGATTCCATTACTATAAACTCAGTTCTATTGTAATAAATATATAATGTATATTAGTTTGTTTAACATATATCTGTTATTAAAATTCTTGAATCGTGTATCAAATTTCTCACGTGCATTTTGAAAGATTATAAATGAATTTGATCTACGCAAAATTTACTTAAATATGAAAGGCTTAGTTGATTATACATCATCTTCAGATAACGATAGTGAAGAGGAGTTAAATCGTGATATTAAAAAACATATTAAAGAAACTCCAAGTTCTGAAAACAAAAATATTATTAGTGGAAAAGGCGTGAAACGAAAAGCCAAAGATATCGATAAATATGATACTGAAACAGAGTAAATTAAAATCTTTAGCAGGATCGACTTTCTTTTTATTCACTCTAGCTAAAACTAGCTAATAATTTTCAAATTTTAAAAGAACTGGTTCTGTGCTAACACCGAAAGTAAAAACAAAGAAATTACCACCGTTGCCCCTAGAGTTTTTAGAACTATATCAAGGTATGAACAATTTAAGAAATTGAAAGATTCAAGTTAGAGATCTATTATAATACATAAATGAATGGATATCCAAACTAATTGAATATTCGGTTCTATCTAAAAAATTCTAGATGAACGACGAAAAAATTATACAAAGCATATAGAAGACCCATTAAGTCATCAAGGGCGAACGCGAGCCAAACCACACGTTGAAGGCAATTGGGCTACACATGTATATATGGAAGGTATAATATTAATATTCTTTATTATTAATATAGATGAGAGACTTGTTCATTAATAAAAATTATCAATTCATTGCATTCACTATTTACAGTTGTTATTCCCGAGGATTTCAAGTCATTACTTCGAAAAATGAAAAGTTGTGCACAGAACGCTGCAAGTGTTGCAAGTGATGATATAGAAATTTTTTCATACATCGATGATGATGATGGTGATGAGAAAGGAGAAACAAGCTTTAAATTTTTTGAAAATGACATGATATCATCTGTTGACTCGCAAAAAATAGTTAATGATTCAAAGTTACATATCAGTTTGTCTAGACCTTTATTTTTGAAATATTTTCAAATAGAAAAATTTTGGGAAAATTTAAGGAAAGGCTTTGAGAATAAAAAACGGTAAAATTCTTTACAATCAACATATCTAATTACTCAGAGAAAAAAATCCTAATTTATTTATTTATTTATTTTAAATAGATTTTCTTTATCATTTTCTGAAATTAGCCATTTCACTAATGATGATAAGACTAGATCTTTTCTTGCTTTAGAAGTTGGTGGGGGAGTTAACGAGGTATTACGAATTCCCATTAGAATCTTTAATAATAATAATTTCAAAAAAAAAATCTCATACTTACTATATGTATATGTAGTTAAAGATATTGTTAGAACATGTCAACAAAGTAGCTAAAGATTTTCGACAAAATGAATTCTATGAGGTATGTGACAAATTAAACTTTAGAGACTAAATTATTCGATTTTTTCTTACATTCATTCTCACATTCATATTCAAAAAAAAAAAAAAGAATCCTCGATTTCATGCAAGTGTTTTATGGTCACTCGGAGACAAACCAATATATGAATCATTACGTGATACAGTTATAAATTCAGGATTTGAAGATATCATTAGAGATTATGTATTTATCATTAATAAAATGGTTTGTAAAATTGGTAATAAAACATTTTTCGTAGAATTATTATGATTTAGTTTTTCTTTAAAAGTATCATAGATCTGTCGTAGTATACGTTATTGAATGCTACGTATAAAACTAACCATGAATAATTAAAAGGCATTATTATTTTTTCCGTTAGCCTACCTTTATCGTGGCTAGAATATAAACATTTCTAATATTGACGTAATGAGTGCGATTGGCCGGAATTATGTAAGGTCGGCAAGCATTATGATCCGCAAATTCGACCGGCCACCCAAAAAAGTTTCGACATTTTCCGGCACGCCAATTAGGTCGATGGATCAGGTGTAACGTAAAATCAAAACAATCGAATTAAGCGAAAAGATTTTAAAAGTAATAAGCATCATCTTTAGGGTTAGCTTATACTAAAATTTCACGAGGAATTTTTTTTTATTAGAACGCAGAAAAAGACATGATTTTCACGTTACACCCGATCCTTCAATCTAATTGGCTATAATCACGTGTCTGAAAGTTTTTTGTGGGTGGTTAATTCATCATGATTAGATCATGATAAAGTGAAAAGTTAAAAGCATAAATTCCATTAAACATACTATTTTAAAAATATATGTTGATTTTCGTGGAAGATTATAACTCTGATTATTTATTTGAATCCAGGACGCAGCAACAAAAAAGTATTGAAGAAAACAAATAGTAACAAATGGCCTAATAGTATATATTCATAAAAGCTTTGTGACATTGCATAAATTGGAGGATTATAATCATTTTAAAAAGTTCCAAATACTTAGAAAAACCGTAACCATAATACTTTCTGACTATAATAAATATTACGTTTATTGGGTTATTCGAAATAAATAAAATGATCAAAACTACTTCGTTTCACAACTGGTGATCATCACCGGTGATTTATAATAATTTAAATTTTTATCAAAGCAAAAACCAAATTTTTTTTTATATTTAGGGTAAGGTTTAAAAGCTTGAATTAGAATAAAGGAAGGGTTATACTCAGAATTTCACGGAGAATGTTTTTTCTTAGAACCTCAAAGTAGTTTTGTTAATTATTTTAGATTAGCAGATCTCTAAAATGAATAATTTATTACTTATCGTTATTATTTTGTTAGTCTAAATTTTTTTGCTTATATTTTTTTGTTAAGTTACATGAATTTTTAGTGCTCGATATATTTGTCGAAACTTTTTTGGGTGGCTGGTCGTTAAAAATTTAGCCCGAATTATGGGCCAAAAATTTAAGCTACACTCTGGGGGTTATTTCAAGACAATACGGTAGTGAGTTTTTTTTAAAAAATATGCAATATAAAAGAGTGGTGCTTATGTAAAGGTTTTTTGTATAAATTAAATCATAATTTGGCCTAAATATAAATGTGATTACATATGATGTGATTATATGAGAGGTGGCTATATAGAGGGACGAATTATACTATGATATTATATTTTTTGCTATGTCTTTTTCTGTAGCCTTCCAATAATCTTGTTTAATTTTTAGATTGGATTTTATCTAGCAACAATCACTTCTCATTGAAAAATCACAAGCAAAATTTTTTTATTTTTATAATTACATTATTAAAATTCTAAAAACTAATTACTAAAATATTGACTAGTCTAATGGTAACAACCAAAAAAGTCATTAAAAATGTTAATAAAAAAATAAAAGCTCCAAAACATCACGTTGAAGTTCCGATATTTTTAAAAAATCTTTATCATCAAATATTCGCTTAATATTAAACTCTTTGGGTGATGATGGCCTGATGAATTTTGTCTCTTCATTTTTGGATGTCGCAGCGGTACAAGTCTGTTTCTTATCACAGGTTCTACGACTCACCGTATCGTTTTCCATTCCAGAAAAATTGGATTGTATCTCCTCACGTGAATGACTTAAGGATATATCACATTTTTGAGCTTTAACTATATCTTCTTTAACTTTTTCCCAAATTTGTTTAAAAATAACTACTGTCTGGTTCCCTGGAAGAGCTTGAATTATTTCAAAAATTCCAGGAAATTCATTTTCTAAAACATAAGACTTTATTAAAACAATATGAATAGAATTAGTTTTTTTTTTTTTTTATTATTATTATCATTTCTTTTTATTATTATTATTTCTTTTAAATTTTTTTTAGTTACACCAAAGAACATACCAATCTTCCTTGATACTCTAGAGCTCTATTATATTCTTCCAAATAAAACTGTGGTATCTCAGATAACATAATACTTCCTCCCATTTTTTCAAATAATGAGTAAACTTTATATCTCGTTGATCTTACTTGAATATAATCAATTGATCCAGATTTTTTTGCCTCATTCACATTAAAGTAACGCTTTGGACGCATGCTCGGATTTGTGGTAGTAATTGGAAGCAATGAAGATGGTAATGTAAATGATGGATATGGTGGGGGCATTTTTTGCGGATCCGAGTTGAAAAACTTGAATTACAGTATACAGAAATTTTGAAATAAAAAGAAGTTGATTTTATTAATATATTTAAAAAATCACTTCTTTTTATTTATACGAAACAGAACCTTCAATACAATGATGTTATGTGATACGTATCTATATTTTGAGTGGTTAGATTCTGATAATTATGCCTGATTTATCGATGACTATATATCACGAATATGTAATAATTACATGTAATGTGACGAATTAAAATGAAATCAGATTAAAAATGTGCATTATTTTTTTAGGATTAAGATTAGTGTTTAGGGGTAGAATTTATTGTCTGGAGCGTAGCGGAGGACACTCTTCTTTACGTCAAGCTTTGATCGACACTGTCACGTGAATTCTTTCTGTTCGCTTCCGCATCCGTACATCACGCTTATTATATATAGAGTTAAAATTTAATAATACTGCATTTTAGAAATTTAAAGAATGCTATTACTATAATAGTGTGAGTTGTAATTATTCACCTTCCTACACAAAAAACAAAATTTTATGCTTCGGACTCATAACGGTTCCCGTTTTCCTAGTAATAAACAAGTATAGAAATCCCCATTTTAATTCGATTTCATTATGATCCGCAATCATGTGATACAATATCAACCAAGAAAAAAAAATTTTAGAAAAGATAGTAGATGGAGTTACTGGGGATCGAACCCAGGGCCTCTTGGATGCAAACCAAGCGCTCTACCGCTGAGCTATAACCCCGCGGCTACTAATTAATCATTTTTTGTTAACTTTTTATTTTAAACAACCAAATGTTCGGGATTCCCAATTTAGTTATATACTCCTGAAATTCCTAGGAATGAATTACTACCACTACATATCTCTAAATTATTTTGAACAAAACGAAAATATTTCTTATTGTGGTTCTGTTATATTTTTGCACGATCACTCCCACAAAATAATTATGCTATAGGTGGTATATTGTATATTATACATTTTTTTTAAGAATCCGAGTAATTTCACAAAATTTAAAATATTTAATTTCGTTTCACCAATTCAAAATAAGTATCCTTTGTCATATAAAAAAACAATAGGCTTAATATAATTACTGTGTTCAAAAATAAATTTCTTTGATTTCTTTCTTAGAATTACATTTGTATTATTTTAAATAATACACAGTATTACCATAGTATAACTGACTAAAAAAATTCGAAATACTAAAAAAAAAAAGCTTACAAAATATCTTGATGAAAAATGCTTATAAAAATACCTGAGTACGTATTATCTAGAGATTAGAACCAGTCAAAAAAATTATAACCGGTTAATATTTATGAGTAACGCTAAGGAAGAACCGACTTTAAATATTTTATATCTAATTTGGTTTTAAATATCTAAATATATATTTTGTACGTACAGTATTTTTTTATACTATACGACATATACGTATTGATTCTATATTAGTTAAATTGTTTTTAGTAATTTTTTTGAAATTTATATTAAAATATTTGAATAAATATTTTTTTATTAATTTTACAATTATTTATAACGAAAATAACCCAAAATTTTAAGTATTAAAATTTATTAAAATATTTTATTTTCAAAAATTTTTATTAAATTTCTTTATATATATTTTATAAAAAAAGAGTACATATAAGAAGTTGGTTAGAGGTATTAAAAAAAATATACAGGAGGGTTTCAGACATGACAAGTAGCAGAAACCTTTGAACGAATCTTTAAATAAATTATAACTAAATAGTATATGTAAGTAATTGTATTCTTACTGGAGTTTTTATAAATTGAACTAAACTGAGCTTTAGTTTAGTATTAAACTTTTAAATCAAGTTCTATTTCAGTTCAAAATTCATAAATATATTAAGTTTCTTTTTTAAATATTAATGGTGAGATCATGCTTTTATCTTTATTGAATATTTAATTAAGATTTTTATATAAAATACAAAATTACTTTTAAAATATTATAGAAAAAATAAAAGTTTAACTTAATTTATTTGTAAATTAAATTAATCAAAATGATTAAACTTACTTAGATTTGAGTGTTAGTAATTATATAAAAAAAATTAATTTAATATTTGATTTATTATATATGTTAAAAATTTATTTTGTAGTTAATAATATTAAAAAAAATTAAAATAAAAATTAAAAATAAATTATTCTTTAAACTGTAAACTATTTTTAGGCAGATTTGCTTAAAAAATTTCACAAGATATATTTATAATCGATATTTTTTAAATTTTAAAATATTTAAATAAAATTTTTTTTGATAATATTTAAAATAAGAATTATAATATAATAATATTTAATTTTATATTATAAGAAAAAGATTAAATTACTTATAAGTTACAAATAAACAAATTTAAAAAAAAATTTAATTAAAAAATTATTTACAAATTTTTAATAAACTCTTTAAATATTTATTTTAAACTTATAATTTATAATATAATATTTTAGTTTATATAAAAATAAACAATTTTTATTTGTAATACTTTTACAATTTACTTATAAAAATTTAAACTTATACAAAGTATAAATTTTTTTTTAGTTTCAGAAATATATAAAAGTTTAAAAAATTTTAATATTAAAAATTTTTAAATAAAAACTTTAAATTTTTAATATATAAAAAGTTATTAATATTTTTTAAAAAAATTTATAATAAAGTTAATAAAATATTTTTTTTAAAAAATATTAAGGTAAGTACTTGCAATTTAGGATTTTATTGATAGTATATTTAGCTAATGGTTGTATTATAACTACAGAAGACAATTATAGAAAAAGTATATAACTAACTACTTGTATAACTTTAATTATTATCTAATTTAAGTAGTTTACTTGAAGATTCTATACTAGCTGTCATATTTAAAACCTACTTGTAAGTTTCTTATTTAATATTCTAATTTCTGTATTTTTCTGTTTACCTATATTTATTAATAATTCTAATCAATAATAGTAAAAATATATTATAATTACTAAGTCTTTAAAGCAGTTTACTTATATAAAAAATCTTTGACCTTGTACTAAACCTTCTAGAATTTTTTATATTTCATTTTAATAACTAATCTAGTAACATTATAGCCAAAACCAATATTTGTAATTAGGGCATACTATTAAATCCTTATGTTTTTTTAAAGTTTATTTCAAATTTATTTTATAACATATTTCTACTATTTTGATATTTAATTCAAGTTCTATTAAACTCCTAGTTTAGATAGCCTAAAAAGATAAATACAACTATACTTTTAACTTACATGTTCTTTAGTATATAATCTTTTTTTTTGCAAAATAAATTCTGATAGTTTAACTAATTATAACAGCTTTTTTCAAAAGCTGCATCTTCATTTAGCTTTATAAATTGTAGTTTTGTTTTATAAGTTTAGACTTTATAGTAGTACTATTAAAAGTTTGGACTAACTCTTTATTTAGATCTTTTAAGTAAGCTTCTGTCTTTCTAGTTTCTATAATTTATACAATTACAGAAACTTATAATAAGTTTACACTGCTTAATACCAGTTTGTGTTTCTTTATACAAGATATAACTATTATATAAATACAATATAACCTTCTAGTTATGCTAATATAATACAAGTAACAAATATTTGATCTCAACTAATAGCAAAAAATAGTTAAACATAATATAAAAAAAATTTCAAAATTTTATTAATATTGGAATTTGAACTCTAGATCTGTTACTTGGAATTAATAATATAACTACTTCACTATATTATCATGCTTTAATAAAATATATTTTTAAGAATATATTTTATAAATATATCTCATATTATTAATAAATTATTATTTTATTTAAAAAATACTAAATATAATTTAATTTTTTAGACAATTTGTCTAAAATATAGTTTAAAAAATAATAGTTAATAAAGTTAATAAGTATGTTTTATAAATAATTTTAATTTAAAAAATAAATACATTAAGTATATACTAAAAAATTATCTTTACTTATTTTAAATATTAAAACAATAATTTAAAAATAATTATAATAAGTAAATATAATATAAAATATGGTTTTAATTTTATAAGTAATATATATATATATATATAATAAAAATATTTAAAAAAAATAAAATTATAAATTTTTTTTAATAATGTTATAATAGTTAGAAAATAGATAAATAATATTTTATTTAAATTAAAATATAAATTTTAATATTTTTATAAAAGTTTTATAAAATTTACAATTAAAATTAATTTTTATTAAATTAAATAAATTAGAAATATTTATCACTTTTCTTTTTATTAAACTTCTTTTTTATTTAAATTAACAAATATATAAACAAATATAGATTTTATGCTGTATTTTGTATTCTACACAGTCTCAAATTACATTTTTTACTAATTTAATTTATAGTTTTTCTTTTAGTTTACCTTTATTTCTTATTTCAATACTATAAATTATTACTAAAATTAATTTTTGAACTATCTAATAGATGAAATATTACATCTTTTTCTTTTATATTATTATTCATATCCAAATCTAAATAAGTCTTAATCACTTTTGTAAATTTAGATTACAAATTATATATTTAAGTCTTTATTCTTTATATATAATTTAAAAACAACTTTTTCTTTATAAAAACTTCAATTAAATTTTAATAAAGTTAAAGATATAATTTTATCTTTAATATTAAAAAAAAAATTAGAAATATTAATAGTAATAATATATTAAAAAACAAAAGTATAATATTTTTTATAAAAACAAGTAATAATAATTGGTTTATTAGAATTAGTAAAAAAATAAAATTCATTATAAATATCATATAATGTAGAATTGAAGTTAATTGATAAAAATTTTTAAAAATTTACTATATTTTAATATAATAATATGCAGAGATGTAATTTCGAGGTCACAGATAAATATGTCTGAGCTTTTATTCTTGAATGTAGTTTTCTTTCATTTGTACTTAGAGTAGCTATATAG